CATTCTCCTTACTTGTAAACGGCATGAGAAATTACCCAGAAGTCACTTCGAAAAAACGTAAACAGTCGAGGAGGCTGGCAAGAACAAGAATTCACTTTAACGACATATGACAAGTAGCGGTTTTCTTACCTGTCCCTTTTTTAATGAAAGAGCTGAGCCAGTGAACCTGTGCATTTACATCAACTTAGAATACGTGAATAAATTGAATTATCGTAGAATCACGTTTTCCTTTATTTTTCTCTTATTTTATGTTTAGTGTTGACAAATTGGGAAAATAGACCAGTGTTTTTATTTTTATTTATTTATTCTTTTATAAGATGAAACGTCGTGCAGCTCAGTTATCCTCACCCTCACCTGTCACTCCATCTCATTCATATAATCTTCGAAGAAAAGCTGGTGTACATCTTTCGAAAAACGATTCAGCGTCACCAGCACATCCAGTAGCTGTAACACATAAAAAATTACGAAAAAAGCTAATCACATCCGACGATGAATCAACAAACAATGTTAGTTCTAATTTTGCTCAAATGTCTATAAATGACGATCGGGAAGAGCATACAAACTATAATTTACGCATACGTATTTCGAATAAACGTTCGTCATTAGCAGCTAGTGATTTATCAGATAATACGGATAAAATTAAAAAGAAAAAACAAAATGTACAACATACGCCAAGTCTACATCATGAAGAGGAGGAGAATGAGGAGATTGATGAATTAAATTTCTCAACAGATCATGCAGCAACAACACCAAATACAAATAAAACGAGAATTCGATCAGAATTCAAAGGTAAATTTAGGTTTTCACATTTTTTTGACAAAAAGAGAAACCTAATAAAGAAAAAGCGCTGACACTGTTTGGAATGCTTCTATTACTGAAAATGAATGTATCCGTTGATCATCAGACTAACATGAGAATATTCAATTAAGTTAGGCAAAGAAAACGAAATGGGCATTTGTAAATTTAGAGTTGTTCTGTCACAGACAATGGACTACTCATGAGTTTGTAAGTGTTTCTTTAGTGGGAAAAGCTCGTCTATTCACTTATCGTTGTATTAAGTTTGGATATTTAAAAAATATCTTGTAATATTTTCAAGAAACATATTATTTCATACAGAAGGCTTTTTGGTGAAAAAATACTCATTATGTTTTTGCAATGCCACCGGAACGCGTTGTGAAGAAAAGTTTCTCATTATGCAAACTTTTCATTTATTTGTAGCTCCGAAGAAAACCGCTCATCAACAACAATCATTACGTGAGCGTTTAAGCCGTACGTGGATCAATCGTCATTTAGTAACCCACAGTTCAAAACTTCAACCATCTATATCATCTACCATTAAAAAGTCCACAATAAATAATAACAAGACAAAATCACAGCAGCAACAGTATCAAGAAGAGTTCGATGAAGAATTTTCTGATGACGGTAGTAACAGCGACCAAGATAATGAACAACAGAAAAATTCAGAAAGTGGTAGTGAAGAAAGTGAAAATGAAGGTGATCGTACATGGTGTTCTTCTTCTGAAGAAGAAACAAATTTGAATCAGTCACAAGATGAAGAAAATGACGATGACAATACTCGTTCATCGTTTCATTCAACAAAATCATCTGGATCATCCACCAAAAGTTCATCGCGACAACAACATGGCGAGCGTTATAATTCAACATTTCAAACACCAATCTGTGATAATTTAGCAAAAAAACGTTCTGATTTATATAGAAAAAATGAACACATGCCAAAAAATAGAACAAGATTAAGACGTAAGTTTAAATTCGTTTTTCAAGTAATTTTGTTATCCTTCCTTTATCTTGTACTTCTCTGTTGTACACTATTCGCATTATTTATACGAGTTGAAGGTTGGAACATTCTAACATATTGTGATAAATTCCTTCTAACACGACTCTTCTATTTGAAATCGTTAAAAGTGCTGATCTTATTATCTTGTAATAATTAAATTCCGTAATGCGAAATGATGCATAGTAAATGTGGTTCTAATTTATCGGTAATTGCAACAACGTTATTTTTCTCTTGTTTTAGAACGTAAAGAACGTCATCCGTCATTGATAAATTCAAACGAAGTTGATACGAAAGGTATTCAGAAACGTTATTGTTTACGACAACGAATTCTAAAAGAACGTTCACTAAGAATAAATAACAGTATCAATCACGCCGATGATGATCAAAATAGAAATCGTATTAAAAAACAAAAGACAAAAATATCAGCAGAATTGAAACAAAGGAAAAGTACAGTGTCGGATGAAAATGAACCTCAAACAAGTGGTGAAGAAGAGGAGAATGAGAATGATGATACTCACAGTTTAAACGAAGAAGAAGATGATTTCGATTTGGATGAAATTGACGAAGAAGGTATATAGTTATTTCTCAGAGTAGTTTTATATGTAATGTATTTACTTTAATTTGCTGTCTAAAAAGACTGGAAATTGACAGACTGAATGTATTTAAACCTACTATTGGTTCCAAAATATAACGCTCTGGATAGTTTTAGAATAACTTTCGATAGAAAAAAGATAGAAACTTGCCGTTTTCATCATTATGTAGCCAAGACTTTAAGACATGGGGATAAGATAAATTCCAGATCCGCACACTACCTGCAGATGGTGTACCACATTGATCTTTGAAAGATAAGGCTTCTGGGGTACTAAAAAAAGATGATTTCCAAATGCAGAGTAACGGATTCGATCCTCCTTATCGTCCCCACAATTCTACACAAGTCCCAAACCTGTAGTTCTTATGGTCCCTCAGCTAGGGGATTCTCTGACGATCATCCTCTCTCGTACCAGACACACTGAGCCAATTTTTTCAAAATCTACTTCTCGCTGATGTTCATGTACAATTAAAATATTCATAACTCAGTCATTTCTCATCCAAACAAACTGAAATTTTGAGGAAATATTCAAGACAAGGGATGGATTATAGGTCAGAGCAAGGCTAAAAAAGGCGTAAGACAATAAATAATCTCTGAGATTTTTAGGGAGATCGCTGAAAAACCGTAGAAAGTTATTCTAAATATATCTAGGGGCGTTATATTTTGGAACCGATAGTAATTCATGTAAGGTCTACTGCTATAGTGTATTATTGTGTTGATCACTTATTGATATAGACTGATGTTATTGAAAACAAGTTTTTTTTTTGAAAATGGAAATGTTGGTAAACGTAGCTGCCTTTCTTTCTAAGATCGAAGTACTTTTAATTTTTATTTTAGACCTAGAAGACGAAGGTTCGGAAGAGGATGCTGTTGAAAGTGGTAGCGATCAACAATCCGGTTCTGAGTATGAAGAAAATGAAAGTAATCAATCGAATGAAGAAGACGATCAAGAGGAATTATCAGATGTGAACGAAGAAGAAAATGAAGAATCAGAAACGGAGCAACAACAACAAAAAAAAATCATTCCAATTCAAATAAAAAAGAAAATAAACAAAGTTCAAGAAATGGATGTTCATAAAATGAGTCCAATAACGTATGTATCCATTGATGAGGTAGAAAAATAATCTAACAATTCTTGATTCTCAGTACTCATACCAATAAGAAATTGCACATAAATAAATTGATGCTTTTTGACTTTTTTACGTTTTTAATGAAACATAGTATATTGAAAATTATAGAAAAGAATTTAAGTTTTTATTTTAATTTAATTTATTTATGTCGGTCAAACTGGAAATGGAATTGATACTAGAATGGATCAACATAAAAAGACACTAAACAAAGTAGATTTCAATGATATATCACTAAAGATGATCATATTCAACTAGACGAGAAAAGAAAAGAAAAAGTAGAAAAATAGAGAAATCACAACTAGAAAATTCCTTGTAGAAAAATCTCTGTATATATTTGTTTCTCTTCTCTTTCAAAAGTCATTCGCCTGACGATACTGTGATAGTGTCGAAAGCTTGCTGTTTGTATTTAAAATGATTTTACTTAAATTCTTTTCTATAATTTTGAATATACTATGTTTCATAAATAAATTATTTTTAGTTTAAAAGAATATTTGTTTATAGATTCTTCGCTATCTAATGCTGTTTTCTTTTGTTTGTTTAGCGAAGAACAATACCATCTTCCGCGTGGTATTATATCCACAATTAAAAAACCTCGTCCACCTGTAAAAACTCCACAGTTGATGCCAACACGAAAACAAGATCGAAACAATAATGATATGAAATTTTTTCAAAAAAATAAAATATTTTCTGAGGCAAAAAAGTCATATTATTCATTCGTTACACCAAAACCTTCTAATCACGTGGATTTAGATGACTTAATTAATCGTACTCGTATACGTCCACTGGCTCTTCAACAAGCACAGCAAACAAATTTAATGCCTGAACCAACCGGTAGTGATGGACATCATTCACAAGCTTTAGATTTAATTAATTATTTATTACAATTAGAGCAAACTCTAGCAACAAATGCAACGACACAAGCTGCAACTGTCCAACAAAAAACGAAAAAAACAACAACTATTATAAGTACGTGGACAAACAGATTTCTAATGACTTTTTCATCATCCATTATTTAATTTATTTTATTTAGAACGTAAAGTTATTCAGAGTGTAATATCACCTTCGTCATCGTTTACTGTTGGTATCATTAATGAGCAAGCGACATTGTTGACAAGTCAAAGTAGTTGTGATGGTAGTTCACTTTTAAAATTTCTTCACAGTGATTTACGTCGTGAGCAAATATCAGAATTAATTACTGTTCATTTAAGTTCTCGTCTTGTTTTAAATACACTATTTTTGGCTGTTAATCTTTATGATCGTGCAGTGCTAACGGGAAAAATATCGACAAAGTATTATCAACGAAATCAAAATCCAACGTTATTATTAACATGTTTGTTAATAGCTGGAAAATTTGAAGAAGTTGAAGTAGGTATCAATTGAAACATCTGGCCGAGCACTCTAAGGAACTCATTTGTCAACTAATTTAGATTAATGGATGTAAAATAAGGTATCGTCCCGATTCGTCGACAAATCGGATACTTCAGAGAATATACATCAAAGAATTTCAAAGGCGGGAGGGGCGGTGTGAGAGTGAGTGTCGACGAATCGGGACTGAATCGTAAAATAAGAGTAGTACAACAAACGAACTACTATCTTAAAAAAAAGTCATCGCTCATCCGTGCATTTTCATTCCTCTTAAATATTTCTTTTCTTTGTTCCTAGTGGCCAACAATTCACTCGTTAGTTGAAGATCGTCCTGGAATAACATCGGATGATTTGAAATCATTAGAAATTAAATTATTAAACAGTCTAGATTTCGATATTGGTCTGACTGTTTTGGATTTTCTTTATCGTTATTGTGAAACAATACCATTGACATCGGCTCAATTACGTCTAATTTTTTTTACTTTACTTT